AAAAAAAAAAAAATATTATCAGGATATAGAAAAACTACAAAGGATGGTGTTGTACCCTGAAGTCCATAACAGCAGAGCTCCCTTACTAGCCCTAGGCCTGAACCCTTACTGGCCCTCTGAACCTAAAGTCAGAGAGACCTGTGTGAAGAGGGGGTCCCTGACAGCTGCTTTAAGCTTTTTCTTTGGTGGCAGAGTCTTACTCTGTCACCCTGGGTAGAGTGCTGTGGCATCATACCTCACAGCTGTGGGCCTCAAATTCTTGGGCTCAAATGATCTTCTTGCTTTAGCCTCCTGAGTTGCTGGGACTATAGGTGGCAGCCACAATGCCCAGCTAGTTTTTCTATTTTTGGTAGAGACGGGGTCTTGCTCTTGCTCATGCTAGTCAGCTGCTGACCATTGAAAGACAGAGACTACCCACTGTGGTGCTTCAGGAGGGAGCCAGGGGAAAAAACATTTTGCCTTACTTACCTTCCTTTCATCTCTTACTTGTGGCTGAGCCTACCATAAAATGGAGTAAAACAAGAATTTGTTGAAGCAGTCAATCTAGGTCAGCCTCCCAGGATTCAGAGAAGAGTGGAGGGGCACATGGGAGTTACATATCACTATGTAGTCGTATATTTTTTTCTCCAGACATATGACTGTGGAAATAACCATCCCATATTTCCACTATGTAAAATGACTGTATTTGATATTTCATGATTTTTGATAAAAAATGAAAACTGGAATTCTATCTTTTTTTTTTTTTTTTTTTTTTAGACAGAGCCCCACTATGTTGCCCTCTTGGGCTTAAGCGATTCTCTTGCCTCTGCCTCCCAAGTAGCTGGGACTACAGGTGCTCGCCACAATGCCTGGCTATTTTTTATTGCAGTTGTCATTATTGTTCTAGCTGGCCTGAGCTGAGTTTGAACCCGCCAACTTCAGTGTATGTGGCTGGCACCATAACCACTGTGCTACAGGCACCGAGCCAGGAACTCTATCATTTTTTAAGCATTGAATACTCTTCATATGGATATATTGTAGGAAACATCACCATTTATTCACTAAGTGGTAAATATTTACTATTTACAATGTGATAAGTTTTGTAATAAACATTGGATATACATCAGCTTGTAAACCAGGTATTTTTCCTTTCATGCAATTTACAATTCAGTGTTATAGCTACCATAAACTACTTTTGGACATATACATTTTTTAATTAAATCATAGCTGTGTACATTAATGCAATCATGGTGTACAATGTGCTGGTTTTATATACCATTTGAAATATTTTCATCAAACTGGATAATATAGCCTTCACCGCATTTTCTTAGTTATTGCGTTAGGACATTTATACTCTAAATTTAATATGTACCCTTGTAAAATGCACCTTAGATATGTTCCCACCAATTACCCTTCCTCCACCCATCCTCTGCCCTGCCCTTCCCTCCCTCTCCTTCCTCCCCCTGTTCTTGGGCTATAGTTGGGTTATAGCTCTCATATGAAAGCTATAAATTAGTTTCATAGTAGGGCTGAGTACATTGGTTACTTTTTCTTCCATTCTTGGACATATACATTTTTTTCCAGATTTTTTTTTTTTTTTTTTTTAGTTTTTGGCCAGGGCTAGGTTTGAACCTGCCACCTCCGGTATATGGAGCCGGCACCCTACTCCTTTGAGCAACAGTTGCAGCCCTTTTTCCCAGATTTTTTATGTAACTTTCTAATGAAAGTCCTATCTTAAACTCATCACATATGCTTTGTTATTCTTGGAAGTTTCTCTCCTTATATACACAAATAATAAATTTATAAATACACAAATACATAAATTTATAAATTTCAGATGATACCCTTTCATTAAAGCCCAATTTGAGGCCTTTCTTCATTACTATGTCCCATCTGATATCCCAGTTTGGGGACTACCAAGGAATTTTCTGTATAAGAATTTCTTTTTATTTAGTATATGTAACATACAATTTAGCCCTTGTTCATATACTGTTTCACATTGTAAGATAATTTTTTCTTGTTATATATGTCTTTCATAAAAATGTAAAATTTTCAAGAAATGTGTCTATTTCTCATATTTTTCTTCCTCTCAAAGTATTTGGCAGGCTTAGCACCTGTGGCTCAAGTGGCTAGGGCACATACACCTAAGGTGGCGGGTTTGAATCCAGCCCGGCCTGCCAGACAATGACGGCTGCAACCAAAAAATAGCCGGGTGTTGTGGCGGGTGCCTGTGGTCCCAGCTACTTGGGAGGCTGAGGCACGAGACTCGCTTGAGCCCAGGAGTTGGAGGTTGCTGGGAGCTATGATGTCACAGCATTCTACCCAGGGTGACAGCTTGAGGCTCTGTCTCAAAAAAAAAAAAAGTATTTGACAAATTTGACCATGTAATTTTTCTCCAATATTTATTTTCCTTGAATCACTTAAGCTTTAAACTCTGGCAGAATCTATCTCTTGTTAGGACCATATGGGTATCTGGGCACTTGTCAAGCAAGAATTGCTTTTTCTTTCAGGGGTTGGTGACCTTCAGAGATGTGTCTCTAAACTTTTCCCAAGAGGAGTGGGAATGGCTGGATCCATCTCAGAAGGATTTATACAGAGATGTCATGTTGGAGAACTACAGGAACTTGGTATGGCTTGGTAAGGATGTTTCTCCCCCATATTTAAACATCTTCCCTCTGGGGTTGTTGCTTCCTCCATTGGGAATATGTAGGGCATCTTGAAAATGCATAATTGAATTTCTACTTCCTGTTCCCAGGAAGTGATATGAAGCAGTTTCATAGAGTTGGTATAGAATGGTGGCTTGGAATAGCAAGTTCAGCACAACCTGGGAATTTGTTAAAATGCAAATTATAGGGCCATAGACCTAAAAAATCAGAGTAAGCCCTCAATGATCTTGATGCCTATTAAAGTTTGAGAGCCACTGTAGTTTTTGATTCAGTAGGTCTAGGTAGGGCCTAAGAATTTACATTTCTAATTAGTTCCTAGATGATGGTTGCAGCTGCTATAGCACTTTGAGAACCACTGCTATGGAAGAAGCTTCATCTTTTTTTTTTTTTTTTGAGACGGAGCCTCAAGCTGTCCCCCTGGGTAGAGTGCCATGGCATCACGCTCACAGCAACCTCCAACTCCTGGGCTCAAGCGAGTCTCCTGCCTCAGCCTCCCAAGTAGCTGGGACCACAGGCGCCCGCCACAACGCCTGGCTATTTTTTGGTTGCAGCCGTCATTGTTGTTTGGCGGGTCCAGGCTGGGGATTCGAACCCGCCACCTTAGGTGTACGTGGCTGGCGCCTTAGCCGGTTGAGCCACAGGCGCCGAGCCGAAGCTTCATCTTCTTTATCATCCATACAAGCATCATTCCATTCTCTGGCCCTTCCTCTAACATCCTCTCTTACCTGATGACCCAGAGATTGGGTTTGCCTCCTGGAACAGCTGTAGCGTGTTGATTTGTCTGTCTGTCTCTTGTTCTTGTTTTTCTTCTCCTGAAAACAGGACTCTCCATTTCTAAGCCCAACATGATCTCCTTACTGGAACAAGGGAAGGATCCTTGGATGGTGGGGACAGAGATATCACACAGTAACTACACAGGTGAGTGACAGGTAACCAGGAAGGGAGCGCTGTTGTAAGATACCTACCTAACTAGTCATGAGGAAGCTGCCCTGGGCTTCAAGGAGGAGCTGAAATCTCCTCCATAGAATCCTCACCTACACCTTGGGTTTTTCTCTCCCTCTCTTTTTTTCTATTTATTTATTTTTAGACACAGAGTTTTACTCTATCACCCTCGGTAGAGTGCTGTGACATGGTGAGCAACCTCCAAATCCTGGGGTTAGGCAATTCTCTTGCCTCAGCCTCCCAAGTAGCTGGGACTACAGGCACTGCCACAATACCTGGTCTTTTTGTTGTTGTTGCAGTTTGGCCTGGGCTGGGTTCGAACCCACCACCCTTGGTATATGGGGCTGGTGCCGTACCCACTGAGCCACAGGCGCCTCCCCCATATACATATTTCTTTTTTTTTTTTTTGAGACAGAGCCTCAAGCTGCCCCCCTGGGTAGAGTGCCAGTGGCATCAAAGCTCACAGAAACCTCCAACTCCTGGGCTCAAGCGAGTCTCCTGCCTCCACCTCTCAAATAGCTGGGACCACAGGCACCCGCCACAACACCCGGCTATTTTTTGGTTGCAGCTGTCATTGTTGTTTGGTGGGCCCCGGGCTGGATTCGAACTTGCCACCTTAGGTGTATGTGGCTGGCACCTTAGTCACTTGAGCCACAGGCGCTGAGCCTATACATATTTCTAATTGAATACCCAGCTCCCTATCAATTGTCTGCATCTTTCAAGGCTCTGAGACACATTAGATAATCTATTTGTTTCATCTTCTTGGATAATTCTTTCCTGGAATCCTCAGGTATGGCTCACTGTGCACAAATGGCTCATTACATCTACTTGCTCTCGGTTTGAGTTTATCTGATATTTTCTCATGATAAGATTGAGATATTGCATTTTTCAAAACCAGCCTGAGCAAGAGTGAGACCCCATCTCTACTCAAAAAATTGCTGGGCATCTTGGTGGGTGCCTGTAGTTCCAGCTACTTGGGAGGTTGAGGCAAGAGGATCACTTTGAGCCTAAGAGTTTGAGGTTGTTGTGAGCTATGACACCATGGCACAATACCCAGGGTGACAGAGTGAGGTTCTGTCTCAAAAATAAAAAATGAAAATAAAAGAATGCCACAGAAATAATGTTGTGTCCCTCTCAGTGCCTTATACCAATGGATTTATAATGTTGATATATCTTATTATCAATGATGATAAATTTGCTAACTTGGTGAAGGTGGTGTCTGCTTGGTTTCTCCATTGTAAAGTTTCTATTTTTTTTCTTTGTTTGTTTTTTTGAGAGAGTCTCATTTTGTTGCCTTCAGTAGAGTGCCATCACTACTAAAGTAGCTGCCATAACACCCAGCTGTTTTTTTTAGAAACTAGGTCTTGCTCTGGCTCAGGCTGATCTCGAACCTGTGAGCTCAGGCAATCCACCTGCCTTGGCCTCCCAAGTGCTGGGATTACTGGTGTGAGCCACTGCACCTGGCAAAAGTTTCTATTTTTAAAAAATTGGTAATTAATAAGTAATCTTGAGGAAGATACTTTGAGACTATTCAGTTTCATCTGAAACTTTTGCCCACTAATTTTAGCATCCATTGGTGGATTTTGTCTGCAACAGTTATTACTATGGTGTTTCACCTAATGTTGATTTTTCTTTTCTTTTTTTTGAGACAGTGTCACTATGTCACCCTTGGTAGAGTGCTGTGGCATCACAGCGCACAGCAACCTCAAACTCTTGGGCTTAAATGATTCTCTTGCCTCAGCCTCTCAAGTCACTGGGACTACAGGTGCCTCCTACAATGCCTGGCTACTTTTTAGTTGCAGTTGTCATTGTTTGGCAGGTGCGGGCTAGGTTCGAACCCGCCAGCTCCGGGGTATGTGCCACTGAGCCACAGGCGCCAAGCCATTTTCTTTTCTTCTTTTGAGACGGAGTCTCACTATGTTGCCCTTGGTAGAGTGCCATGGTGTCATAGCACACAGCAACCTTGAATTCCTGGGCTTAAGCAATTCTCTTGCCTCAGCCTCCCAAGTATCTGGGACTATAGGCACCCGCCACAGTGCATGGCTATTTTGTTTTTGTAATTGTCATTGTTTAGCAGGCCCCAGCTGGGTTCAGACCTAAGTTGACCACCCAAGAGACTGTAACTTACTGGTCAACATAGGGAGGTGGTCAACATAAGGAATTAGGCCTACTGTATTGATACATACAGGTAGCACATACAGGTAGTCCCAGCTACTCTGGAGGCAGAGGCAAGATAATCACTTGAGCCCAAGAGTATGAAGTTGGTGTGAGCTATGACGCCAGGGCATTCTACCTGGGAGTGACAAAGTGAGACTCTGTCTCAAAAAAACAAAACAAAAGAACAAAAAACAAATGTAAGATATAACTGTACCAAAAGAAAAAATAATATATGCATACTTTACATTTTATAAGTCACCCTGGTTGAGTCCTTTCACCTAAATTTTGGTAGAAAGACATATGAAATGCAAGGACTTAGGTCATATTACTGGTTCTAGAAACTTTTTTTTCTTACAGAATTTTCTTTTATATTATTGATCTTTTTTTATGTATTTTAAAAAATACGTAAATAATTTTCTAAGTTCAGAAATAAAATCCTTATGGAACTCTGATTGAAATTGACCTGGTATAAATTAACTTAAGTAAAAAAAGTATGCAGTAGTCGTAGATACTTATAGGGTACATGTGATGCTTTAATTTAGGCATACAATGTGTTTGACTCAAATCAGGTAATTGGGTATCCCTCACCTCAGGCATTTATCATTTCTTTGTGTTAGGAACATTCTAATTCCACTCTTTTTTAATTATTATTATTATTTTTTGAGACAGAGTTTCACTTATTAACCTTTGGTAGAGTGCTGTGGCATCACAGTTCCCAGCAACCTCCAACTCTTGGGCTTAGACGATTCTCTTGCCTCAGCCTCACGAGTAGCTGGGACTACAGGCACTTGCTACAATGCCTGGCTTTTTTTTGTTGCAGTTTGGCCCAGGCTGGGTTTGAACCCACCACCCTCAGTATAGGGCGCCGGCACCCTACTCACTGAACCACAGGCGCAGCCCCTTTTTAAAAATTATTTAAAAGCATACCCTAACTTATCATTGATTATAGTCACTTTGTTGTACTATCAAATATTATTCATCCTGTTTAACTATCTAACTATATTTTTGTATTTAATAGCCACCTCTACTTTATCCCTGACTCCCCCCTCTACTCCCCTCTGATAAGCATCATTCTCTTGTGTTCATGAGATCAGTTGTTTTAACATTTAGCTCTCATGTATGATGAGAACATGCAAGATTTGTCTTCCCATGCTTGGCTTATTTCACTGACCATGATACTCTCCAGTTCTGTCCATGTTGTTGCAAATGGCAGGATTTCATTCTTTTTATGGCTACATAATATTCCCTTGTGTGTATGTACCACAATTTCTTTCTCCATTCATTCATTGATGGACTCTTAGGTTAATTCCCAAATCTTGGCTATCATGTATAGTGCTGCAATAAACATAGGAGTTCACATATCTTTTTGATAATACTGATTTCACTTCTTTTTGATATGAAAGATTGCTAGGTAGGTCTATATTTTGTTTTTTGAGGAAACTCCCTACTGTTTTATAGTGTTTTTATACTGTTTTACATTCAATTTTTTTTTTTTTTGAAACAGGAGCCTCATCTGCCCCCCTGGGTAGGGTGCCATGGCATTTCAGCTCACAGCAACCTCCAACTCCTGGGCTCAAGCGAGTCTCCTGCCTCAGCCTCCCAAGTAGCTGGAACCACAGGCGCCCGCTACAACGCCCGGCTATCTTTTGGTTGCAGCCGTCATTGTTGTTTGGCGAGCCCAGGCTGGATTCGAACCCGCCACCTTGGGTGTACATGGCTGGTGCCTTAGCCACTTGAGCCACAGGCTCCGAGCTCTGTTTTACATTCTCAACAGCAGTGTACAAGGGTTCCCCTTTCTCCACATCCTCACCAGCATTCTTTATTGCCCATCTTTTTGATAAAAGTCATTTTAAAGGGGGTGAGATGATATCTCATTGTAATTTTGACTAATTCACCTACTAAGGCTAGTGAATTCTCTTGTCTTTATTGCCATTATGATACCATTGGCTTCTAAGTATTTCTCTACTCCAGACATAGTAACTATCACTTCCACACATGCAATATTTATTTCCTGTTCTATTTTTCCCCAGGATACACCCACATGTGGAATTCATTTCCCTGCAACATTTATCCACCATGCTTTTTAAAACACAGTAGTTGAAGCTCCAGGAACTTTGGAATCTCTCATGTTGGAAGATATCTGCAGTCTTCTCCTGTCAGGCATCTTTCACTTGGCATTACATTTGGTATTGTTTAAACCTGCCATATGCCTGAAGTAAAGATTTATTCTCCGTAAGAGGGAATATAGTGGTGCTGGGTGGTGGATAAAGGAGAAGAGGTAAAGAGACCAAGTGAAGGAACAGAAATAATTATAACTCTGGGGAAAGAATGAACAAGATGGACCTAACAGATTAAATGAACATAGCCTCTCAGACCTGGGTTTAGATAGAGGCTCAAGAAAGAAAATCCAAAGGTGTGCATAGGAAGGAATGATTGGGTAGGTTCCTTCTTTGGGCAGAGGGTATATTGGAATGAGGAAAGATACAGATGCATAATCTGTTCTTTGCTTTTTGATTTCATATTGACCTAGTCTGGAGGCAGCTTTTCTTTTCAACAGATGGGAAACTATTGTGTAAAGACTATATCTAATTAACCCCAAAATGCTAACATGCAGCTCAAAAATAATCCCTAACCACATCCAAACATGAAAATGGCTCTGTCACGGAAACATTCACTATATTTGGTAGGCCTGATCATATCCTTGAAAACCAAACTTGTATTTTTCAAGAATCATTCCTTAACTAGTGACTTTTGATTTCTTTATACTACTAATAATTTATATGATATTATCTATTCCTTTTTCTTTCTTTTTTTTTTTTTTT